CTTGATGGATTACTTCTGACTTTGGTCTTCCTTGCTGGATTACATCAAGCTCAAGGACATTTGAAGGTCTAAGTTCACGGTTGGAATTCATCCCCATGGACAGGTGATGATTTCCAAAGGGGGGACTGTAGTGAACCAGATGACCTCAAATCTACCAGATGGACAGAGACTGTTATTTTCATTGATCTGAATAAGTCTGTGCCATCTGATGAACTTTCTTTCTTGAATTAATCAAGCAGAAAAGACAATTCTTTATAATCATTACTGTCTTACAAATGTTTTGATAATCAAATTGTGTTGGTTCACTCAATGCTTTACAGGTTGAAAAGAACTACTCATTTTTATTTTACATAAACAGTAAGTAATGATTTTTATTCCTCATTCAGAGAAGAAATCACCTGAATATGCCTTTCTTGATTTTCTGTCTGAAATGAGCAAGTCGTAAGTGTGTGAAAGTTGAGGCTTCGGTCAGCTAAATGTTTACTGAAGAAGAAATGTCATGTTTAAACTTTTTCAGAAGATTACCAAGAGTAGACTCCAAAAAGTCTGCTGCTTCTGCAATAATCTTTTCTGTATGTTAAACAAGTTTCATTCTCTGACCTCGACTGTTGATAAACACCTTACGTCAAAACCACTCCTCTTTCTGGTCCTTCCACGAATCAGAAAGCTCTAAATTGAACAGGAAGTCGACCCAAATAAAATGTGGCAACTCCCCAGTTCATGTTAGATTGAGAGTTCTGGAGAACGTGAGAGTTCCAAGATTGAGAGTGCAGTCGGTTCTGAAAGCTTCAGAGCAATGAAGAGAACTAGAGTTATGAAGAGTTTGGAGTTATGAAGAACCAGGGACGTTTGGGATTATAATTCTGTTTTGAGCTAACCACGCACGACTCTCCGAGGATTTTTAGCTGCTCTCGACGGAGACGCTGAAACAGTCTGAAGGATGCTTACTGAGCTGATCCATCGTCAAACCAGGTAAAGACTTCTTCGACCAAGTGTACCGTGGGCAAAGCTGAGATACCTGATGGGAGCGTGCAACTTCTGGTCAAACAGATTAAATTCCCTCACACAGTTCTCTGTAAGATAATCTCCTTTCATCTTAAACTCTTCTCTCTCATAAATCAGTACAGATATTTTTAGAAATGTCTGAAGCAAAGTCCTCAAATCACCGCCGAGTGATTTGAAGTTCATTTTCTGTGAAACTGTCTGTTATTATTTTCATATTTTGCCAAATTAATGTAAATGTTTGATGTTAAACTTTGATTCTGAAAATAAATGATTCCATTCATTTGATGGGTCAAAGGTAATAACGTCTCTCGTTACATTTTGTGTTAAATTCAATGCACGGCATTTACAGTCAGAAAAATGAAGAACTCGTGAATATTGTATGCATATATAATTCATATATTTGTCATACAACAAGTGACACGTACCTCACGTGACTCACTACACCAGCTAACACCAGGATTCCAATGTAAGCATGCAAGTCAGTCGGATCCAGTGGCTTCCATTTCTCTTGAAAGACACGCTTCCCCTCCAAGTTGGTCATGTTGAGGATTATCTTCTCTATGGGTGGGGATATGAAGAGCTGAAATGCTGATTCAATATCATCAACTCTTGTGACAGCAAATCTTGTAGGACCAGGAATCATTTTGATGACATTACAAGATGACAATCTACCTTGGCTTTGGTGTGGTGATGTTGACCATTTTATTTTACCATCTTTAGATGTCCATGTCCCCTCTGTGGATGACGATTGTTGCATTTCTTGGTTTTCATCTGAAGAAGGGACACCTGCAGACTCGTCCTCTGAATCCTCCTCATCATGGGAAAATTGAAAATCTGGATCATCAATGGCATTGTCCTCTGGCTCTGAAGGATCCTCTGTCTCTGAAACCTCTTCCTCTACATCACTATCCCAGTTCATAAGCTGCGAAAAAGCTTCTTCAGCTGTAAATCGTCTGGAGCTCATTTTTGGTGTTTCTCCAAGAACGGGCATGGAAACAGTGACAAGGACAGGGGAGAGAAAGTCCCTCTTCCACACACACCTGGTTCTGAATGTTTATTCAGAGGCAATCAAAATGAAGTACATCAAAGACTTTTTTTTTGGATTTTTAACAGCTACTCTGTGTGCGGGTCAAAATGACCCGCAACATCATCTTTGTATACAAACTGTGTGCAGACATTTAACAACACATCAAAGAGTCCAGATTTTACATAGAAGTTCATGACCCTAGAGGAGAAAAAGTCACAACATTTCATGGAAAAAAAGAAAGGATAACCTGCACTTTGATCAACACAAAAATTGAAACGGGTCAAATTGACCCTTAACATAACACAAGGGTTAAACTATTTACATTGATATATTGCAGCATAGTTTTCTTAGAAATATGCTACACGTCTGTTGAGTGTTGTAAGAAGAAGGGGGGACGCCACACAGTGGTACAAATGGACTTGTCACAACATTTTTGGGATTTGTTGATGCCATGAAATTTGGAAACAACAGATTTTTCCCTTAAAATGATACATTCCAAACTGGAGCATTTTAATTACCGGTAGAGCTCAACCATTATGGAAATTTTGGCCATCACCAATACCGATATTGGGAGGGGAAGGCGAATGCTGATAACCGATATATCGTAATGGCTGAAAAGTTTTTATCTTTGTTCACCTCCAAGAATCTAAGAAAACAGCGAGTGGAGTGGGCCTTGTTCATTTAGCGCAGCTGTTAGCAACCATGAAGCTAAGCTAATCAGAGCCACCTTTAATTAGTCCCACAGTAAGTTTACAAGTGGTGTACTGGTCATAAAAACAGTCTGCCTAACTTGTGCTCACATTTTCTATTCTCCATCAAGTGTGTTACATAAATATAAATTAAACAAAGAAACGTCCATCTTGTTCATTGTTTAAACAGTCACGTATGGTGAAGGTCTAATTAGTATTGATCGCAGCAGAATTTACTTTCTTTGTAGAAAAGTAAAGATTTCAAATAATTTGTTTAATTGAGTATGACAAAGATAATGTTACTAACACTGATATATTTTACCTCTAAAACATTGGATTTATTGTTCTGGATAAAGTTTTACAAGTCATTAGTCTATGCTAGGTTATCTAAACGTTAGCTTGCTAACTTGAAAAGCACATAGCTAATGACAAGTGAGTTGGAGGATTGAAGATAATTTATTATTGTAGATTAATTTTACAGATCACTTACAATAAACTTATCAGCAAAATACTCTGCACAGTTGCTCCCTGCTTCGTCTGTGCTGAAAGTGAAACCTAATGGCCACGACTTGAAAGTAGTCTTCATGTGCCCTCTGCTGGATATATTGCACAATTACATCATTTACCAGTAAGAACACGGCTCGTTTCCAGTGTTTATAATGGCACATAATGGGACAATTATTGTCGATACTGATATGTCCCCAAATGTCTATGTCGGCTGAAAACATCAGCCCTGTCGAAATATCAGTCGGGCTCTAATTTTAATAAAAGATCAGTAAAAAAAACAAACTCACTGAGTTCTTTCACGCAGTCGCTGACGAGCTGCTGCTCCTTCTCTTCGTAGGTTTCAGTCTCTGTTTTTAGATGGTCCGCCTGCACAAACAACCATGGACAGATGAACTATCAGCTTTATTTTGATTGGAACGATTTAGTTGTTCTGCGTTATACCTCGGAGCGGAGCGACAAGTTCTCCTCCTCCAGCTCTTTGAGTTTCCTCTGAAGCGTGCCGCTCATGAAGCCTCCAGTTTCTGCTTTACTCTTCTTCCCCCTGACAGGAAGACCAACACAAAGACTTGGCCCAACGAACTACGTAGCCTGGGTTTTTAGCTCGGAGACGTTTAGACAAGAAATGTTTGGTGTTCTGTCAAGGAATGCATATCACCCACTGCCTTTCAGACCAAAGTTTGAAGCTAGGAACAATTCATGAAGACGTGACGCAGTTAGTCATTTTGGCCAAACCTAGAAAATGATGTCAGCCCAGAGGCTGTGAGCTCTCACACGATTTGTCAGCTCTCGAACTGTGTTGCAGATGACTCTCAGCTACTTCCACACCATATTTTAGCTCAGCGTCCGTAAAATCTAGTGACTTGTAACCATTTCTGTACTTTAAAAACAGTTAACTGTGGCGGCCATCTTAAACTGGACTGACTCCAAAAGATAAACAGTTCTAGATCTATATTAAATGATTTCTTTCTGAGAGATTCACTTAAATCCATCCATTGGTTTAAAAAACATTTTACTAACAGACAGACAGTGCTAAGTTTAACAGTTAACGGCAGCATTCTAAGTAAAGATATTGCTCAGTGTCGTGCTCAGCGTATGTATTGTGAAGAGCACTCAGCAATTCATCCCAAACATTAGCTCAATATGAGTCAAGTTAACTGAGTTATAACCATTTCTACGTTTCCTAATAATAGTTGGCTATAGGAGCCATCTTGAATTGGATCGCCTACAAAATGTAAACAGTTGTAGATGTTTATATAATGATTATTTTCTAAAAGCTTTATTGGAATCCATCCAGTATTTTGTAAGACATTTTGCTAACAGACAAATTACCTCTAGCTTTAATTGTTTAAAAACTCAACCAGTTAGTGCTCAGAGTATACGTTAAGGACCAGTCTCAGCTACTACCACATACGATCTTAGCTCAATATCTGCAAAACTGACTGAGCTGTGATTAAATTAGCATTTTCTAGGGTCGCTTAGTGCTGGCGGCCATTTTGAATCAAGCTGGCTTCAAATTTCAAAGAGTTGTAGATGTTCGTCCAGCGATGACGTTCTAAGGGTGTCAGGTGTTTGAGGAGAGTGGTTGGAAAGCTAACGTTGGGGAGCTGCCGGCCTCGTCGTCGCCCTCCTCCGCTGCGTTGGTGTAAAACTGCAGCAGCTCGTCCTTCAGGTTGAGCTCGTGGTGCAGCTGGGCCACCTGCCGGAGGACACACAAACACGTCAGGCCTCTGCGAACATGGCGGCAGGTCAAATAATGAGCGGGTCCGATGCGTGCGGACCTCCTCTGTGATCTGCCCCACTTGCTCCTCCAGGTAGTCGTTCTGCTCCGTCAGAGTCCGGTTCTTCTTCAGCAGCGACTGGCCGATCTTGGCAGCCAGCTCCAGATCTCTCTCTTTCTGTTGACGGAGGAGCAGAGGTTTCAACCGTACTGATTCAACTGCCGGATTTTTCGCCCTATAAGTCGCCATTTTTTTCATCATTTGCATGCCCTGCGACTTATACGCCAATATAATATATAATATTATACAATAATTTTGAGCAAACAAATAACGTGTTAATCTTGTTAAATTCTTGTTAAAGTCTTCCCATAGCCGCCATTTGGCAGCCAATCGATTTTTGGCACAACACCGGCCCACATTTCCAAGTTGTCAGCAGACGTGTAATAAATGCAACGTATTTATGGATTTTTCCACTTTATTAGACATATTTGGACTGATGCGTCTTATAGGGCGGAGGGACGTGTACAGCGGAAAATACGGTAACTTACTTTCTTTGTGTCATTCTTTATTCAGCTTCCTTTTGTCTCCTCGTGGGTCTTTTTTTCTCCCAGTACATTTTATTGGTCTCCCTGTTTTATGTTTTTAAGCTTCCTTTCATCCTTTCGTCTCCGCGTGTGTTTTATTCGACGTCTTCTGCATCCTTTTGTCTCTTAATGTGGCTTTTTAGCCACATAAACACATTTTTTATGCACCTCTTTGTCTCTTCTAGTCCTGCATACTTTTTGTCTTTATGCGTTATGTCTCATTTTGGTCTTTTAACGTCTCCTGTTGTTTTTGTCCGCCCTGTGTTCCTGTCCCTCCTTCTCTAAATATTTTGACATTTGAACACTGAAACTTCCATCATTCAACTCACTTTTGGCTTTTTCAGCAAACATTCAAGGCTCAGCTGCGTTGACTGCGACTAAGGTTTTGTTTTTTGGACCTGAGCACTTTAGGAATTAATTTTTCAGTCTTTCTCCCACCTTAGATGGCATTAATCTGTCCTCCAGCTGTAATATTAAAAACCTTGGTGTTAACGTTACTAGAACCACCTTCTTCCACCTGCGTGATATCACTAAAACTAGAAACATCTGATCTAAAAATGATGCAGAAAAACTGGTCCATGCATTTGTCACGTCTAGACTGGACTGTTGCAATGGTTTATTATCTGGGTGTCCAAATACTTCTTTAAAACGTCTTCAGTTGATCCAAAATGCTGCTGCCAGAGTCTTAACTGGAGTTAATGGGAGAGATCTTATTTCTCCAGTTTTAGTTTCTCTTCATTGGCTCCCTGTCAAGTCCAGAATATAATTCAAAATCTTACTTCTAACCTACAAAGCTCTCAACAACCTAGCTCCATCTTATATTACAGGTCTTATTGTTCCATATTTTTCTAACAGAGCACTTCGCTCTCAGACTGCAGGTTTACTTGTGGTTCTTAGAGTTTACAAAAACAGAATGGGAGGCAGATCTTTCAGTTTTCAGGCTCCTCTCTTGTGGAACCAACTTCCAATCTCTGTCCATGAGGCTGACACATTATCCAGTTTTAAAACTCGGCTTAAGACTTTCCTTTTTGATAAATCCTGTAGTTAGGGTCGGCTTGGGTTTCCTGAGCTGTCCCTTAGTTATGCTGCTATAGGCTTAGACTGCTGGAGGACAAACTGACCACACTTTTCACTCTGCTACTGTCTTTACTTACTCTGCTCAACCTGTTTTGTATTTGTAATTATTATTTCTATCTTTAACATGTTTTTTTTTGTCTTTCAGATATACCTGGACCTATACCTGGACCTATACCTGGACCTACCATTCTGTGTTTGTCTGTCTCTCCTTCCTGTCCTCTCAACCAGCAGGTCAAAGCAGATGGTCTCTTGTCCTGAGCCTGGTTCTGCTGGAGGTTTCTTCCTATTAAAATTGAGTTTTTCCTTTCTGTGCTTGTTCAGGATGAGAGACTGTGATGAAGTGAAAATTCAACTTGTCTGCTGCTTTCTTACAGAACTTTACTAATTATCTTTTTATACATGTGGATGTTTCTGTTCAGTGCCCTGAGATAACTTTGTTGTGATTTGGCGCTATATAAATAAACCAAAATTAATTTAAAGCACCTCTGAATCATCCTGAGACAAAAAACGTCCACCTCACCTCCTCCAACAAGCGTGTGACAGCGTCGATGTCATTGTAAGTCTTCGTCATTTGGCCCACTCTGTCGGCACATAGCACTGTGGAGACACAAAGTCGATCCGGCAGACGTTAGTGACATCACCGCTGCTCACTTTGAGCGGTGATACGTGATCATTGGCGCCTGTTTATGTAACACACAGAGGTTGGAGAAAGGTCATGCATAGGATGCAGCTCCTCCATCAGCGGCTGGTATATAAAGAGCAGAGTTTAAAGGGGGAGGGGGTTCATGTTCATGCAGCTGGTCCCGTTGCCTCAGGGGGGCACATCCTATTGATGTCGGCGCTCGAATCAGTAACTCGCTGTGCAAACTTATTGGATGGGATTAACGCCAACACAAAAATATGAGAGTAAAGCACATCAAACTGACTTTTCCTTTTAATAGGGAGGTAAAATGTTAAAACTTTGACCCATTTATGGAACGTGTGAATTGTAATAAAGCTGGACGTGTCACAACGGAGCACATTTAAAATTATTTAAAGAAAAAACATGATTTGTGCCATCTCATGCAACATAACATGTCACCATTAAAGCTTGTGATACGGCTCTCAGCTACTAACGCATGAAATTTAAGACCGATATCTTTATAAGTGACGGAGTTATAGCTTTTTAGGTGTTGTCTACTACCACTCAGCTGTGGTGGCCATCTTGTATTGGATTGCCTCCAAAAGTTTATCAGTTGTTGATGAACGTTCAATGATTACATCCTAAAAAATGTAATTCAAATCCATTCAGTAGTTCATGAGATATTTTGCTAACAGACAAAGTTGAATCAAACAGTTATTGTTACATTTTAAAGCAAGCACATTTCTCAGTGTGTAGCACTTAGACTAGATGTTTTGAACTAGTCTCAGCTACCAGTTTTATCTCAATACCAGTAAAAGTGACTGACTCATGGATATTTCTCTGTTTACGATGGACAGTTAACTGCAGTGGACATCTTAAATTGGGTTGGCTCAAAAAAATAATCACTTGTTAATGGAAATCCAGTTATTTTCTGAACGTTTCACTGAAATCCACCCAGTAGTTCATGAAATATTTTGCTGACAGACACACACAGATGCACACACAGACACAGGGAAAGACATATCCACCTGCCTTCACCTTTCTTAAACAACAATAGGACTCAGAAAGTCAGGGATGATGTCTGGGTCCACAACTTTTCACAATGAAACCAACAGAAACTGCTTCCAACAGATGAGTTGCTACGAAGAGCACGACGGCTGGTTTGACTTCTGTGATTATTCAAACTGTGAAGGGGAGACTGGCGCCACGAGAGTCGAGTTTGTAACCAGAACCTTTTAAAAACTGTATTCAAGTATTACTTCTGTATTTGTACTTTACCTTTCTGGTCTTCTTTACAGAAGCAGCCCTTCAGCTCCCCTCCTCGCGCCCCTGTCCCGCTCCTGCTCTTCATAGCTTCCATTTGCTTCTTGATAAGTGATGAGCAGCGATGACTGCAGGTCCAAACACTGACCCGTTCACTCCCCCCACCCTGAGGACTCAGTGACCGGATCACTAACGGACCGGATCAATGTCAGGGAGGCGGGGAGAGTCAGTCTTTTTTTTCTAGAACCTTTCCCTCCCTCCTCTGCTCAGCATCAGCATCTGTTGCCACGGTAACACTCATCAAAACACCAAACTCTACCACATGTGCAAACAATCTCTAACCCTGATTTGGCTTCAAAAATATTCAGTTTGGGCATCTGACTGAACAGTTCACAAACCAAAAAAAAACGTTTTCCTCCGCAACACAAGATGCTGTGAAACAAAACAAAACAACAAAAACAAATCCCGTTTCTGACCAGCAAGCCAATAATCCACTTATAGGCGAATAAAGTGTTTACAAACTGCACATATGCAAGCCTGCAGTCACTACAAGTTCACCTCTGTATTCAAAAAAGGCTCAAACTCTACTATGGAGTAAAGTTCTTCTTGGAAATGTCTCATTTTAAGATCCTGGAAAGCTTTCAGCTTAAATTCAGGGTATAGTTAGAACTGGAGCATCAATAAAATAACTGTGTGTTTGTGCACAAGGCAGTGATAACCAGCAACCATAACAACCATTGATGTTCTGGAAGAAACTACAG